TAGTTTGAAAGGCCAAGATTTCTCTGCCTTTCATCACTGCGGATGCCTCTGGCCCCAAGCACATCGAAGAGAGCTTGTCCCGCGCAAAGTTTGAGCAGCTTGCCAGCAAGCTCATCACTCGATGCAGGCAGGGGTGCTTGCCCTGGGGGGGGGGGAAGCTGCTCTCTGGAAGTTACGTGGTTTTAGAATCCATTAGCTTTTGAATCATCATGCAACACAACACAAGAGCAATACAAGACAGTGTCTTTGCAGGAGCCCTGTGGAGAGTGCCCTGAAAGACGCTAAGCTTTCGCCCAGCGACATTGACGAGATCGTTCTCGTTGGTGGCTCCACCCGAATTCCCTCCATCCAAGATTTGGCATCAGAACTGGTTGGCGGAAAGAAGCCCAATCAGAGCGTGAATCCGGATGAGGTTGTGGCGGTTGGTGCAGCAGTTCAGGCCGGTGTTCTGGCCGGAGACGTGAAGGATATTGTGCTGCTGGATGTGACACCCCTTTCGTTGGGTGTGGAGACTCTTGGAGGTGTGGCTACTGTGCTGATTCCCAGGAACACCACCATCCCCACCAAGAAAACCGAGGCCGGATCAATCCAGTTAAAGAATCTTTTCCGTAGGTTTGTCAGGTTTTCAGAGAATTTGTCACCAGAGGATACCGGAGGCGGATCATGGTACGTGTGTTGTCAGGTCTTCTCAACTGCCACGGACTCTCAGCCCTCTGTGGAGATTGTAGTGTTGCAGGGTGAGCGACAGTTTGCCAAAGACAACAAGATCCTGGGCACTTTCCGCTTGGACGGTGTTCCTCCTGCTCCTCGCGGTGTGCCACAGATTGAGGTCACCTTTGACATTGATGCCAACGGTATTTTGAACGTGGCTGCCAAGGATCGGGGTACCGGCAAGGAGCAGACCATCACCATTGCTGGTTCCTCCACCTTGGACAAGACCGATGTGGACAAGATGGTTCAGGATGCCGAGGCCAATGCCGCAGAGGACGAGAAGCGCAAAGAGGCAGTGGAGACCAAGAACAACGCAGAGAGCTTGGTGTACCAAACTGAGAAGCAGCTGCAAGAACTGGCTGACAAGGTGCCAGCTGACCTCAAGGCCAGCATTGACCCCAAGCTGCAGGCTTTGAAGGACAAGGTTGGGGAGGC